CGACCTGTGCAAATGGCGGAGGCTTGATGAGATGTTCGGGCTTAGAGGAGTCGGTCCTACAGTAACACTCAAAGGTCTTCGGCCAAACGCTTTTACGTTTTTTTTCCGGGGTAACTTCTTTCTTAGAGGAGGAATTTGCGCGAAATTTCGATATGTTGAGGATTATGGGAACCGACCACCTTGGCTCTTTTATGAGGTTTCAGCTAGGGAAGTTCAGTTTCCCAAATAAGGCTAGGTAGGGTTGAAGCACCTGGGTGGCTGGGATGATTACCTCCTGCAAAAAAAAGAAAGAAAACTTGCCCACCGCGGTGCTCCTCCCCTACGAAAGCCTACGAAAGCCCTTATTTAAAAACTGGTATAACATGGTATAACGCGTTTCATTGAAATCATTTCTTGATATACTAGCCTTTGAATGTGTGCCGCCCTTCCCCCCCTCCCCAACTACATTTTCACCCAATATCCGAATAACTGAGAGCAGGTCTTTCCGCACTAGCAGACTTGGCTAAAAGCAAAGTGAGTAATGTCTGCACTTTTCGAGCCTTATGGCGTTTTCCTTCTCTGCTGTGTGTTCGGCATTAGCGCTCGTACACTTCAGACATGGCATAAAGGAAAGGAATCCCAGAAAGGCCGTCATCTGTATTTCCTGTTGTTTTTGAGTTCAAGCTCCTTGCGATATCTGGAACATGATCAAATTGCAGGCTTATGGTCGTAAATATTCACAATGCACCCATGCTACACATATCGAAATTGCGCACGATTAGATCCAGTAGGAAAGGAGTTACGACTTGAGAGTGCGATTGAAGAAGCGTTTGTCCGAAGAGTAGTTCTGAGCGCTACTCTACATTTGATCCCCATGCGCGTGAAAGAGCACAATTTGAATTTTTCCCTATTATTAGCTACTTCAGATGTCCATCACGTAGTTTTTGATACTGCACGAATGTTCGCAATACTTAAAACATGTCCTAAGCAAGTCTGCGCGCATAAATGGTTGTGCTCAGCTCACTTTGGCAATTTTGCTGGTATCCATCTAGTTCCTCTTCTCTACTGTGCACTCAAGTTATAGACCATATGCATCGACATAGCGATATTGTCACTATACATGTGTGTGTAGGTGGGTATGACCAATTCAAAACCCTTTGCGTAGTCTTGTTTGCACTTTTACGCAGTTCCCATTGACACACCACACTACTCCGAGCCTGTTTGAACCCTTGTGTCGGTAAAGTCATTGGTTCTCGTAATTGAACTTTGAGACCTGTCCCAACAATCGAAATCATTTCTCCGTTAGCTCGCGAATGGAGTTACTTTTTCGTCTGTGCGATGCATTTTCATTTTGACTGACAATGATTTCATTCGGAAAGTGAGGAGGGCTCAATAGCAGAAGCGTAAAAGTGTAGCTGCCGAGTTGTCTATGTGTGTTGTCATTTAGAATTGTACTTGCGTATTTCGACAACGTAGTGGGCTACTGGGACCACAGGCNTACAAGTAGGAGCTTTCACTCTCCCACACAAGTTCAGTACCAGTTAGTAACAGCGGAAAACCACTAACAGTTTATCTGCTCTAGGCCGGTACCCGCTACTGGATTCCTTGACCATGCCTGTGCTGGCGAGCAACAACACTATTCTTCTTTAGCCCAGCTACTGAACTATGTAGCTTGAAGGAGCTTACGGTCTTTTGCTAAAAGCAAAGCAAAATGACCTCAATCATGGAAACGGTATGAGTCCACTGTTATCAAACAAATTTTCTCGAGCTACTTCAAGTAGACCAGAAGAGCTGGGAAGGCCCCGGAACAGCTTCGTAGGTTTATTGTTTGTGTTTGAATGACGAGGAGATGCACGTCATGGTCAGACTAGAAAAGTATAACGTCCAAGGTGCGATCAGTTGAGCTAAGTAGAGCAGGATATCAGAAATTACCATACAATTTTATGCTCAGGCATTTCTGTGTTACCATGACCTTTATAAGAAAATGATAATGTGTCGTTGTACTGCATGATCCTAACCATTACAGTTGCTTCGCTCTTCGAGGAAAATGATAAAGCACGTTAGGATTTTATTCGGGTTTTAGAGTGCTGGAAAGTTCGTGTCGACTAGGACGATGTCGAGGGCTGCGTTGAAGATTGGCGCCCGTGCTCTGCCGACGAAACATCATATGCTGTACACTGAAAAGCACATGGAAATCAAACAAGAACTGCGAAAAGTGAGCGTATATGATGTAGTATTTTTAACCTCAGAGTTTGATACTTTTATCTAGCTTCAACAAATTGCCTTCACTGAAATTTCTGACTCGCTGAAAGACCTCTAGCTGGCTGGTGACGATGCTTGACACTAGGTGGAGTATAGAAGAGTAAATTAAAGGCACAGTTCACGATAATTTTGGGTAATCCAGATCATGATGAAAAATGGAATACAAGATCGAAAATAGTGCGATGGAGGTGGAGAAACTGCCTGAATCGGTGCTTCCAAAGTGAAAAAGGTTCGAAAAGCCGTTAAAAAGGGGGCTGGATTAGAATGAGACCAGAAAAATGAAGAAGAGTGGGACGGGCTATACAATGTGTCTCACTGCGTACGTATGGGTCCTGGTGCGAATAACAGACTATGGTAGGCAAAAACTCATTCACTTGTAAGCATAAGTAAACAAAAAAACCTTAGTAACAGCAGAAAAAGCTCACTTTTTTCAGCCTCTTGGAGTAGGAAATTAAACAAGGGATCGCGGCAGCATGAAGAATAACAGAGGGGAAAAAGAATGGAAGAAAAACATCGCCCCATCACTCGGCGATCAGCTGATTGTGTGTGGGTTTTGAAACGAATATTTGCAATCTGTATTGTCTCGACACTCGTCTCTGACGTCTGACGTGGCATCGGTCGCGAGGCGGGAAAGCCATAGACGTTCCCGCCCATTGAATTATCGTGACTAGTGGCTTTAATAGGGCGGGCCAAGTTACCATGTGTGTATGGAGTTTGATACACGTCGAGGGGAATCTGGAGTTTGAAGCCCCGTCAACGAGCGAGGATAAGGGACTCCGTTGCTTACAACAGAAAGATCAGATGGGGCAGATACATTATGCGATATTGTTGTGAACAAGGCGGTTACTCTGACTCGATTCCTCGAGACGTCAATCGAACAGAAGGAAGGCCGCCAGCGCGAAGGTCAGGCTCCTTCACGAAAGCCATGCACTAGAGGAATTTTCTGTGTGCTTCGAGAAAGAACAATCCGAGAGTCCGTTCTGGCTCGCGTGAAAGGGTCCGTTCTGGCTCGCGACGAAAACCTTACCGGCTTCCTCTTCCACGAAGTCATTGATAAGCAGGAAGACAGGTGACAGGTGGCAGATGCTACCATACGTCCAGAACTCCCCTATAATCCATGATATATATAAACCGCTAACTTTGTGTGTCCGTTTGTATGCCCGTTTGTGCGTCCGCCCAAAAGTCACGTAGGCAAATGATTAAATGCGTTATCAATGAAGCGGATACATATATTTCATTAGATGAGGATCTAAGATCATTAGCGGTCGAATAAGCCTTGCCAAAAGTGATATCGAAGCGGAGAAGAATCGTGATCCTTTATTGAGTTACAAACTTCACTGGGAGCGGCCGTAAAAAGCGTTCTCCTG